AAAGTTTCATTGGAAAGAAATTATACGGGAAATTAACTAACGACCAGAGACGTAACACTAATAAATAAGTTAAACATTTTAGAGTATAGATAATTGATAAACAAATATCTAAGCTACATTACTCAGGCACAATTTATTGAAAATCTCTCTTCTTGCCCAGAGTTAGGATAGATTAATATAATTTCCAAATTCCTAATGATTCGACCAACCTTGTATCGTCCCTTGGGTTCAACAAGTACTCCATCATGATACCACGAGATAGTTGGTGTTGGATCTGCGAGGATCCGGCACTCGAATAACAACTTTCGCCCTTCGTCTTCCTGTCGAATGGACGGCTTCTTAGCGAACGTCGGCGCAATGCCATCGATTTGTCTGTAAGAAAAAAAAAAGTTTAGTATTGAAGTGACTGGCACATTTTAGATACAAATAACAAGTATTAAAGCTATACTATAACCTCATAAGGCTGTTACAAATCGTTGTAGCTTCATTCCAAACTATATTTTAACTTTAATGTTGTTGTTTTTTTCTTACATCCTGCCAAGACCTCACAACGGCGTAAGTCTGATCATGCACACAAATTTAACATTCGTCTTTTCAAGGTTTCTTCTATATAGAATAAATCAGCTATGTTTGCAAAATATCGCTATTATTAATTATGCTTAACAGAATATGTTCAATAAATGCATAATAAAATTCTAAATGTATTTATGAAATACCTAAATGTGTAGGCCAAGTTATTGCACACCAAAATAGTCTCTGAAGACACATACGTGGGAGTAGTGCCGAAATAAGGCCGAACTCTATTTTGCTAATTTTACGAACCGTAATTTTTTCATTTCCATGATCGTCTGGGTCTCTGTATGGCCGGGGGGCCTATGCGTTAATCCGGTACTGCGTGGGAGATATTATAAAAGTCTGGAGTTATATACACAAAAAGTATCAGAAAAAATCCTGAACTATGGTTACACACCTGCAAAATATCGTTATAGGTAATGTTTTTATTTTCAATTCAAACGTTTCTACCTTATTGTTGGGTAGAATAATTTTTGAGGTTACGTGATGAGCGCGTACAGCAATATCTGAAATTTTTTAAAAGTTTAAATTTGGTTGTTCCTTGTTAAGGCCAAAGTTACACAATGGGATATTTGTGGTCTGCTCATTATGTGTGTCGAAACCCGATTTTTAGCGTTATAAGACCTCGAACTAAATAAAGAAATAAAACGCTTTCATTATCACTAAGTGAAATTTTCTTTGTATTCGTTTATACAGAATAATCCGAACAACAACAGAAACTGTTTCAAAAATACCTTAACAGAAAGATTATACACATGGGAATACTGTGTCGTATAAGAAAAGTCTTTGGAGTCTCACGCATGGGGAAGACGTCTTCTTTCATAATAATACGAATAAGGACTTTTCAGTCATAAGACCGATTTTTATACACTTGAAAAATTTAACACGAAGAACAAAACCAGCAATACTGACTCAATAAAATATATTTACGAAACTCATTACTTAACAATGCATTTTTGATCGAACATGAAAAATAAATACTTTCAAAAATTTGAGAAATATTAAATCTGCATGGAAAAGTGAATAAAATGAATTTAATACACAGATTCTGCTCAGCTAGTAAGTGTGAACAATGCCGTTTACTCAACAAGATATACAACAGAAATGCTGGTAGGCCATAAAACTAGATCATCCTAATGTTACGTCTCTGGTCGTTAGTTAATTTTCCGTAAAAATTATTTCCGAAGAAACTGTAGCGATACAAGTCCTTTCTTAAATAAAACTAGTTTATTCTTTCTCAATAGAACTTTGCAATACACTTAATTTCCACAGTCACGCTATAACAAACGCTATAGTTCACAACGAATGACTCACGTGGTCGACTCAATCGTCAATCTCTATCTCTGTCTGCAGTTCAATTACATTGTTGCCGTCACTTCTTGACGGTCTTATATACAAGAATACCGTACATCTAGTAAACAATCGAGGCTTCACGAAGTGGCATAATTTTTCTAGAAGTTCGTGACGTGTTACTAGGGTCACGTGACTTCCGCTGTCGTAAAACTAATTTATTTTTCGCGAGTATTTTAGTTGAGATCATGGCTACGTATGGATTTATTAGTACCCTCTGATTAGAGGGAAAGCAGATAGACAACAGAACCCATCTTCAAATCTTGAGTTATTCATATATGATAGAATAGTGGGATTTGAGCATCACTCTTACAATGCACCCAACCCCAAAGTACGGAGCACGTTTTTTAAACAATGTGTCGCAAACCACAAACCTTTTGATTCATGTCCGGGCACGCTAATCATTAAGTTACGCTCGGACATACCTTTATGGTGTATAGTGTGCTATTGTTAATTATCTATTGGTTTAATGTAAGTGGCTATTGTTCGGGATGACCAATACTAAGGAAGGGGCAGTGTTATGACAGCGGAATTCACGTGACGCTGGTAACACGTAATGAGTATCTAGAACGTTTGTGAAGGCTCGAGTGTTTGCCAGACGCCCTCTGTTTTGTATATATATGACTGACAAGAAGTGACGAGGGAGGATAATTGCAGACAGGCAAAGATAGAGACGGACAATTGAGTCAAGCGTGGTAGTGACCATAAGTAAAGTGCGTGAATCATTGTGAATTATAGCGTGTGTTTAAGTTAAAGTGACTGTGGAAATTAAGTGTACTGCAAAGTTGTATTGAGAAAGAATAAACTAGTTTTATTTAAGAAAGGAGTTGTATTGCTAAAGTTTCATCCAAAAGAAATTATACGGAAAATTAACCAACGACCAGAGACGTAACAAGTGTAAAATGTAATATGCATATTCATAATCAGTTACTTGTTATTTGTGAAAAATAAGATGTGTAAAATAAGTCACATTCTTTAATATCTATTTGGATCTGCCATGGCCAGGTGATTAGGGCACTTAAATCACAATCTGTGGGTCATGGGTTCAGATTCCCATCTTATCAAATATGGTCGCCCTTTCAGTCGTAGGGACATTACAATGTGATGGTCGTTGGTAAAAGAGTAGCCCAAGAGTTGGCAGTAGGTGGTGATGACTAGCTACCTCCTCTTTAGTCTTTCACTGCTAGATTAGGGACGGCTAGCGCAACTAGCCCTCAAGTAGCTTAGTGCAAAATTAATAGGCCCCTCAGGAGCCAGTGGG